AGATATTGCCGAGAGGCTCCCGCGGGGCGCTCCCGGGGACGCTCTGGGGGCGCTCCCGGGCCGTTCTCGGGGCTCTTCTGGGGCGCTCCCAGGGCGCTCCCGGTTCGCTCCCGGGACGCTCCCGGGACCCTTCCGGGGCGCTCCCAGGTCGCTGCCAGGTCTGTCTACCCTGCCTTTCTACGTATTCCGCCCCGAGGATGCCGGTTGGGGCTTCTCGGGGCTTTCTCGGAGGTCAAACTGGGTGTTGCCGGGCCTTCAGAGGTCCTCGGGGCTTCTCGGTTGCTTTTCAGAGCTTCCCGTGGCCTCTTGCACTATCCGGTGCCTTGGGGCTGTATTTCCGTATTCTGCATTGGAGGGGTCCTCGCTCGTGAGCATGAGGTTGGTTGCATTCGCCTAGCCGCGGGGGGGCCTTGCGCTTGAACCCGAGATGGCCACTCGCCCGCGCGCCTTCCTTTGTCGTTGCCTGCTGGATCCAACAGGCCTGTTTCGCTACGCGTGCACGCTCATGATGGCGCGTTGGGGGGTCGACGAGGTCACCCCAAATCAAAGTAACTATACTTGACCGAGCGGATGCTGTATTTCAGAGTTGTTTATTGCGATTATCCCAGCTGCGGGCCCGATTTTCCAGCTCGTCTTTCTCGGGGTTGTCCCCCGCACGAACGCTCTGCGCCGTTTCCGTCAAGGCCCGCGTAACGCAGCTTGCTCGACGGAGGCGGGGATGCGATATGTGAATCACTGGCTTGCGACAAGCGTCGGTCCTCCAGCCAGTCGCCTGCAGCAGGGGTGTGATTTCTCAAAATTTTGCGCCCCCATGTGTATCCTCGGATCTTCGCCGGCGAGAGCCGCCAAGGCCGTCGGCCGTTCGACGCAACGGTAGGCCGTTTCAGTGCAAACACTGTTTCGTTAATAGTGTCTCTGGCGACATGTGCGGCTGATTGGTCTGGCGTGGAGAGATGAGAGAACCGTTGGCACGTCTCTGTCGCATCCCAGAGAGAGAACTTTTTAATTGTATACATGGTTAAGTATCTTATGTGAACGAATCATTGACTCCGTGCTCTCACTCTTCAGAGAATCAACATATCAATGGTGTCGGTTTTAGCCGCCAGGTGTGTATATTGCTGGGACCAGTCGCGGACTGCTCTGATATGCCTGCGGAGCGCCTTGCCACGCCTTTGTTTCTCAAGACGCAGCGCCTATAGCATTGCCCCCAGGTCGCGTTTTCACGTTTTTGCTGAAGGTGGTCCCCGCGAAGTTGGACGCCTGGGGGAAACGTGGAACATCTGAAAGTTTCGTAGTTTCAGATGCTCCTCTTTGGTTTGCTCTTGGTTTGCTTTTTTGGGCAGTTTTGATTTCATCTCCCAAGCCTCGTTGAAGCTTGCTGGGGATCTCCAGATGGCGACGAAAAGGGCCCAGGAGGGGCCCCAGAGGGCCCTGCGAGCGAGCCAGAGTGAAGGATCTGAGATGGCAGTTTCAGAATTGCTCCACGCTGTCTCGGGGCCCGCTTCGGGCTTTCATGAGCCCCGCTGAGAGGGCTCCAGGGGACTTGGCAGTAGCTCCGCGAGGGCCCCGAGACAGCCGCGAGAGCAAGCCGCAATGGAGCATCTGAGCAGGCCGTTGAACATGGTTCCACTCAGCTTGGCTTTCGGAGCCGCCCTAACGCCCTCGGATGCCTCCCCTGGGCCTCCTGGGTACCTCTAGATGGCCCCGAAGAAGACCCAGAAGTGGCTCCAGTGGGCCCCGCGGGCATTCCAGGGTGGAGCAGTCGAAGCGGCTGGTCCAGATGTTCCACTTTGGCTGGCTCTGGGGGCGTCTTGGGATCCTGTCTGGCGCCCTGGAGGCCTTCATGGGGGCCTTGGGACGGCGCCAAAATGGCCCTGGAGGCGGCCCGAAAGCGAGCTGGAGTGGAGCAGCTGAAACAGCCGTTTCACACGTTCGTCTCAGGTAAGTTTTTTTGTGCCGTTTTTGGGCCCCCCACGGGCGTTTTCAAAACCATGTTGGGTTTTTTTCTGGCCCGAGACATCACGCTGTCCGCGCAGGTTTCGCTCGAGCCACTCACTGATGTGGGTTGTATCGTGTGTTGTGATGAGCGGGTGTTGCCTCTGACTTAGGCCGAGGGGTGCGTCGCGCGCGCAGGCGTGCGGCGATGCTCAGTAAGGGTGCGTTGGGCGCGATCGTACGAGCGCGTGCTGTACATACTTGCGCGTGCAGCACTCACGTATTTCGTTTAGAGGCGCCTCGTGCGTTAATTTAATGTGGATTGCCCCTGTGTTGGGTTCCACCACATGTTCTCGAGGCTTAATGCACTTCCAGGTTTTCTTACATGCGTCACAGGCCCGAAGCCTAATTCGGATGAGGAAGGCTTGATTCGGGGAATCCTGCTTGCAGCGGTGTCCCCGAGCGGTTGTCCTACATCTCAGAGGTCGCTTGGAGGCGCCCCAGGCGGCTTCTGATCCACCCCTCTCCCGTGGATTAGTTCTGGGGCCCAGGGCGGACTCCCAGGGCCTCTGATCCACCCCTCCTCATTCGATTAACTCCAGAGCCAACTCGCGGGGCCCAGGGCGCAAGGGT